CGCCCGTCGCGCTCGGAGGAGCCGGGAGCGCACGGAGCTGCGCGCGCCGGTCGGCCGAGCCAGGCTGGCGCCCCTGCTCGTGCCTCCGCCTGCTGCTTGCCGCCCGCCAGGCGCCTTCTCCGCTCCACTTGCCTTCGGTCCCGGTCCCCTTGGCCGCTCTCCCTCCCTTTCCTCTGTCCCGCCCCGTCCAGCCTAGGCTGCCCAGCTCCCGCAGGCCCCCCCACTGCCCGCGTTCCTATGGACAGACGCACAGACACCTGCAGGTGGGTGAGAGCCCGTGCGCGGGGCGGGGACGAGCGCGCCGAGGCTGCGACCTGGGCTGAGGAACCCCTTTGTGTGGGGGCTGGCCGCGCTGGGGTCTGCTCTGCCTCCCCCTCTGGCTGCCGCGCAGTGACCCGGCTGAACCCTCCTTTTGTCTCCTCTGTCGCGGGGAGAGTTCCAGAGGGAGGGCAGGGACCTGGGCGGCTGGACGTTGGCGGCACCAAGCTGGGGGAGTCTCAAAGGTGGAGAGCCCAGGCGGCGGAGCGGGCTACGGGAGCGAGCGCCGGCGGCGGTGGCGGCCGCAGCTGTGGTCTCGGCTCCTTTGGGGCCGGCCGGCCGCGCAGCATCTCCTGTGGACGCGGCGGCCGCGAGCGCGCCCCGTGGGTCTGGCTCGCCTGCTCCTGCTTTTGGATTTGTTTGAGGTGGAAAGGAGGGCGGGAAGAAGAAAGAAAAGATCTGCCCCTTTAGTTTCCAAGTCTCGGGATGGCTATGGAGAGGGGGAGAGAGGTGGTTCAGGGCTTTGCCCGACTTGTTTCCCTCATCCGGAGGCACACTGAGGTGCGTTTGGGGCGTGTGTGTAGGAACGTACATCGCTTCGGTCCCTTATTTATTGTTTCTAGCGGAGGAAGGCTTTCTCCGAAAGCCCCCCCCCCATCTGAGGCTGCGCACAGTGATTTGTATTTGTTATCAAATGAATCAAGAAATGTATCCCCCTGGATAAAAGGAGGGTGGGCTGACCAAAATCGGACCAAGATCAACGACCTGTTTTTTTTTCTCACCCCGGCGACTTTTTTTTTTTAATGTAAAGGTTAGATCGAGACATGCAAAAACAAAACAAAAAACAAAAACATGGCTGTTATTTTTACAATTATATATTAATTTTTGTCTCTTTAAAGTTTTAGGGTAAAGTTTTGTAATTTCCCAGACTCTTTAGGATTAACATGACAGAAAATTTGACGCATTAAAGTAACAGTTAATAAGTCAGTCAGGTAGTGACAGCTTCCAGTGTGGAGGTTAAATTGGAACGTAATAAATACTTGCCTAGCTTATCATTCAGGCTAAAACCTTCAGTTTTGCCGGTTTAAGATATGAGATATTTGACACATATGGAAGAACATGAATGTTAAAACGGATTCCCCCCCCCGCGATAGTGCTTTCTCTATTTTATTATATATAGCCATATATTCTGTTGGATTGTATATGGTGAATTTAGTGTTTTGAAAAGTACTGTAGGGTGATATATATGATTTATATTATTTAATTAGCTGGCTTTTTTTAATGAACAGTTGCTATGTATTTGTAGATCTTCAAATAAATAAAGTTGAATAAGCACCCCAAAAATTCACTCTACAGATTCAGACTTTAAATACAGGTACAGTTTTATTCTTTGTATTAATCTCAATCTATTGCTTACTTTTGGAGACATATATGTATCTCCCTAGTGTATGAGAATGTATGTTGACAAACTTAAGTCTGACAGTTATACCAAAGAGATTTTTAAAAATCAGGTTTGAGGGTACTCAGACAATTATTTGCACAGCCACATGTAGAAAATGGAGGCTTTCTTTAAAAAAAAAAAAAAGCATTGTCACCGAAACGCAAATGAAAAACGTTAAAGGGCAAAGTATTTATTATTTAAATTTTCATCAAGTATGATATAGCAATTCATCAGAAAATAATATACTATTTAATGCATGCGTAATTAGGCAAACTGATTTTTGTCACTATAAAGAAAAGATAGTTTATTATGCCTAAAATAGTGGTCTTTTTCTAAGGAGAAAAAAGTATCCTAGATTATTTCCCCAGTTACATTAACAGATTAATATTATTTATTGCATGACTAATTTTATAAATGCCTGGAGTGTATATTTATGAACACTACTTAAAACCTAGAAGATGTTACATCTAACAATGATCACCCTAACCCCTTTAAACTGATCAAATTTTATTAGTTCTTGCTTTAGACTTCCAGTATAGATTAGAAACTGCATAAAGGTACAGAACTCTGGTAGGCTCTCGCTCAGGTAGTCCCTTGACAAATATTCCTTTTCCTTTCCCATTAAAGATGGTTCAAAGAGGATGGGTATTGAAATTTGTTCAGTTTTTATCATGAATCTAGAATGGAGTTCTAAACCATTCTCAGAGTTTCAGCTCTTAGATACACATACTCTTCATCACCCCTTTGAAGTATTAAGAAAGATAAGCTAACAAATTGAATTGTTTATTTATGTGTTTACAAGCTTGTCAGTGGAAGTGATAAAGTTTAACAAAGTGTCACTGTGTAAACTAAACGTTAATAGAGTGTGGCCTGTGCTGAGAATTGCTTTGGCAAAGTTGTAGTTGTGCCTGACAGTTCCCTCAGATTGTCAGTGTAGTGTCTTTATGTGGACTGGCTAAAGGATAATGCCTTTTTTTTTTTTTTGCTCTGCTATGCAGTTATTAATTTTCTTTGTTTTTATAATAATAATATTTTAGTATAATCAGAAGCATTCCAGAGAACCTTTAATATTTTCAATTGATTTCCATTTTGGTAAGTTGACATTTAGGAAGGCATATAAATCTTTCACTTTTCATGGTTGAAGTATTTTTTTCTTCATTTTATGTTGTGACAAATAGATGCTACTTTCAGAAATTTGAATTTGTGTAAAATTGGAATTTTAACTATATCTGAGCAACATAAACTGACACCAATTTGTTTTAAAACAACGCTAAGCTGTCCACGTTTTACTGAACTTTTCTAGCATTTTCTAGCTTTTACGTATTTGCTACTTATCAGTGTGTTCTCATTAAAGGAAACTTAAAATGGCCCCTTTAACTAGAACCCTCAGATGACTAGCATTATAGTTAATAGTAACCAAATGCAAAGCTGAAAAGTAAGAGTTTGATTCTTTATAATAGGTTTCTGACTTTCAAGTCCTCCTTTTTCATGCAGTTTTTTGTAGTTTGGTGGGGATGCAGGTCTGATTCTAAGAGATGTGGGCAGTGACCTCCCATTCCAGACCTTATCCTGCGTTCCTTAAGAACAGTAGAAGCCCATGCTGATCTCCTAAAAATGCGGAGTTCATGCTTGGATTAATATTCTGCAACCAGATGTATGAGGCTGGCTCTGAAGACGCTTTTTCTCTCATATACTGTCAAAAATAGAGAAGCTGAAGATTGGAGAGAAGCCATTTATTTTGAACAGTTTATTTTCTGACAGTTTGTGTTTATAAAGAAACCTGTTCAAAATATTTACTTGAAAGATCTACATACTTGCCCAAAGAAACCCTACAGGTTTCTTTTTTTCATTTAAAAAGTTTCCATAGAGCTTAACTCTTACGTGATCCTTCTTGACCTTGTTTCTGATTAGTTGATTTATGGACTTTATTTACCAGTATGTTTGGAGAATTCTTTTGCTGAACTGAAATTGCACTCTGCCTGTGCTCTGGTCTGTTTCCTAGGTAACAAATGCACTGTACAGATTCCATAATGAGGACTGTGGTTGGCTAGTTACAGTGTAAATTCTGTTGTTTGGTAAAGCTTAGTCTCAAATTCAAATAAAGGTCAAGAGACCAAAAGTACTGAAAATGCAAATTTTTGAGTTTTATTTTGTATCCAGTGCCAACAAAGTTTAATAGCATTTTCTGGAAAAAGGCAAATTACACAGCAGTATTCAGGTTTATTTTACAAATTCTTACACTTAAACAGTTGGAGAGCTTTTTCACTATTTTCATATTGATAATGCCAATGAGTCTAATGACTAAAGAGGATGGATTTCAGAAACACTTTATCACACAAATAATATAGAAAGCAGAGGGATGTGGTCTAGAACATCAGTAACATTTTTGTATCAAAAGGAAAGTCAAATCATTTGCATCTCTAAAGATAAACTGTACAAGTTGATGTGAAATATAACTTTAAACAACTTTAAGAAAACATTAGAACTTTTAAGAAACTTGTAGAAACATAAAAGTACTTACCATAAAAGAATACATTTTCATTCTGCCTTTTTTCCCTCTGATCTGCTGGCACCAGGAAGCAAGCCTCTCCTTGATAGCTCCAAGCTAGAGAACAGCTTTCCCTTCTACCTTACTGTTCTCTTAAAATCTATGTCCTTTTTAGCACTAGATGCAGGGCAAAAAGTAGTATGTGTGGCATTCGTAATAATTATTACCTGTTTGTTTTAAAAAAGAAACTTCCAAAGAACAGGAATGCTATTAAAATCTACTGCTAATATCTTTTAATGCCTGAGAATGTTTTTGTTTGCTAATACCCAAGGATTCTGTTAGCTGAAACTTTTTTTTTAAACACTTTAATTCTAGTGAATTATCTACAGTTGCCTCTGTTGCTTTCCTTTGCTGGGCTGGATTGTTTTTGGATTATTCATTTATTTTTTTAGTTAATTTTTATTTCAGGCATTGGATATATCTTGGCTGGATTCTCTGTTTCTTCTTGGTTTTCCTCAAAATTGATGCTACTTTAACCTTTTCTTTCTTTTTCTAATTGCAATTTTTTTGTGTCCCTTCAGTGAAAGTCTGTTTTCCCTTGTAAATATTTATTGATATTATTTTTATTATTAATTTTATCTCTGAATTATCTAAGGGATAATCACCACATTTTAAGAGCTCAGTTTTTCTATTATGGGACTTCATATTTCTGAGACAGAGTTAACAACATTGTGAACTCCTACCCAGCTAGGATTCCTTCTTCCTCCCAGCATACCCTTTCCAGTGGCCCTTCATACACACATATTTTACTCCATATGTGTGATTTTATAGTAGTTTCATCTTTTATGATCTTTTTCACTCTATCAGTTAGTGCCAAGTGCAGTACAGAGCAATATGATCAACTCTATACGCCATTAAAAATAGCTAAAGTGGGTAAAGGCTTATTTTATTCACTTTTTATATTCATTATTTTTAAATGCTTTATTTTGAATGGTGTAAAGTAGAAAATTCTTAATAATTGGTTTAGATTACTGGGTAATATCAGTGTGGTGAAATGGAAGTGCTGATGCTGGTAT